AAACCACAGCCACTCGGTCTTGGATGGGTTGAGCCTGAGTCTGTTCCTCCCCATCCAGATCCGTTCAGCCTCCAGGCACTGGGACATCACTTTAACGGCATCATTGGGGTGGTCCAGGGTGGAGATGTACAGCTGAGTATCATCAGCATACTGATGATACTTCACCCCAAAACCACGGATGATCTCACCCAGCGGCTTCACATAAATGTTGAACAGAAGGGGTGAGAGAACCGACCCCTGTGGCACCCCACATACAAGGGGCCTCGGGGTCGACCTCTGCCCCCCTGTCAACACAGACTGCGACCGATCAGAGAGAAAGGAGGAGAACCACTGCAACACAGTGCCCCCCACCCCTAACTCTTCCAACCGGTGCAGCATGATACCATAGTCGATGGTATCAAAAGCTGCTGAGAGGTCTAATAGGACCAGGACAGAGGAGCACCCCCTGTCCTGGGCCCTCCAGAGATCATCTACCAATGCGACCAATGCTGTTTCCGTGCTGTACCCAGGCCTGAAGCCCGACTGGAACGGATCCAGATACGTCGTTTCATCCAGGTGCTGGGGGAGCTGTCACGCTACCACACTCTCAACAACCTTCGCAACAAAGCGAAAGTTGGAGACTGGACGGTAATTAGCCAACACTGCTGGGTCCAGGGAAGGCTTCTTGAGGAGAGGCTTCACCACCGCATCTTTCTTTTTTTTTTTTATTGAAAAAGTTTTCAAATACAAATTTTCCCCCTTTTTTCTCCCCCCCTCCTCCCTAACCCCCCCTCACCACCCATCCCCCCCTGTGACTTCTTCACAACAAAAACCTAATTCATAACAGATTACATAATATTTTACCATCCCCTTACTCCCTCCTCTAAATACTGACCCTTACTTACTAAAAATATTAATATTGTTACTTCCCCCTTTTACCATACATTTCAAAAAAAGCATTCTACTATAACATTGTATGATAACTTCTAATTTAGCATAATATTATTATAACTCCCAATTTAGCAATAATCTGCCCTTTTTCTCCTCCCCCAAACTTATATCCGTATATTATTACAACATTTCAAAACAACCTTCCACTTTAAAACTATATAATAAATCCTACTTTAACATTTAATCTTTTGTGTATATTAATATAACATTTCAAAGCAGCCTTCCCCATAAATCCTAATTTAACATTTATTCAACTCTATCCATTTCCTCCACTCCCTAAATATATCACTTAAACATCCCTTTTCTTAAACTAATCAATCAGTAAACTAACCTATTTCCACCCACTTTCTTACAAAATTGCCATGCACAACAATTCTTAATATCTTTATAAGATATTATAAATCTTTCAAGGTGGCGGGGAAGGCACCATCTCTCAAGGAAGCATTTATAATCCCCTGGAGCTAGCCTCGTGTAACCTCCCGAGAGGCTAGCACCAGCCAGGAGGGACACGGGTCCAATAAACATGTGGCCGCGCTCAGTCTGCCCAGTATCTTATCCACGTTTTCCGGAGTCACAGAATCAAACTCTTCCCAGGTAATATTCTCAAGACTTGCCTCCATCCTCCCTCCCGAATCTACCCAGTCAGAGTCCAAATTTTCCTGAATCTGAGCGATTTTGTCATACAGATATTGTACAAAGTCCTCGGCTCTACCCTCCAAGGGGTCCTCCCGTGCTTCCTGGTGGAGCAGGGAGCGGGTCACCCTAAACAGGGCAGCCGGGCGATTATCTGATGACGCAATAAGAGCGGAAAAATAGTTACACTTTGCCGCTTTTATTGCCACCAGGTAGGTCTTAATATGAGACCTTACCAGTGTTCGGTCAGATTCAGAATGGCTGGCCCTCCAACTGCTCTCCAGGTGTTTTTCCAGCGTTTCATCTCCCTCAGCTCCTCGGTGAACCAGGGAGCCAGGTGAGATCGACGCGGGTTAGAGGCGCAAAGGCACGATCTGGTCCAAAGCTCCAGCGGCCGCCCTATCCCAGGCAGCCACTAGGTCTTCAGTCGAGCCATGTGCCAGAGCCTCAGGAAATGGCCCAAGCTCTGTCTGGAACCTATCTGGGTCCATCAGGCGCCTGGGGCAGAACCACCTCATAGGTTCCACCTCCCTGTGGCAGGGTGTGGCGGTTCGAAGGTCAAAGCGAAGGAGGGAGTGATCTGACCATGACAAGGGCTCGATCGCTATATCCCCTATCTCGAGACACTCAACCACTGACCAGAGACAAAAACCAGGTCCAGCGTGTTTCCCCCATGTGAGTAGGGCCATGAACTAATTGGGTCAGGTCCATGGCCGTCATGGAAGCCATGAACTCCTGAGCCACCTCAGACGCCTCACCGACAGATGGCAGGTTGAAGTCCCCCGTGACCATAAGCCTAGGGGTATCAATCGCCACCGCGGCTATAAGGTTGAGTAGTTCAGGCAAGGCTGCTGCCACGTGGCAGGGAGCCAGGTACGTAACCAGCAGGCCCATCTGCACCCCATGACCCCACTTCACAAGGAGGGACTCACATCCGGCGTCTGAGGAACAGTGGCCTCCCTTGGACCAAGACCAAAAAGAAACATCCAATTCATAATATGTATAAAAGGATCAAGAAATAAATAGGATTTCAGAATGTATTTCAGATCAACCTTAAATCTGTTGTTTGAATGTGAACATACTAGATCTGGATTTCCAATTTTGTAAGATACCAGAAATTGAATATGTGATTCATTACATCAATTCATCCACTTAATCAGAAGGAATGAGTGAATCAAATTTGCTTTAAATCACATCAAAGGTTTACTCAACTAAGGAAATATAGGAAATATAGTCATTTAAATGCATGTATTTTCTTTCAAATTTATCCATATGAGCATGGTCATATAATAATAATCAATATAAATAATAATAAATATTGTTTACAATACTACTGCAGTTGGGTTTAACAATTAAAGTGGAAAAATGTCATTTCATTTTAATCTGTTTAGTTCTCGTGGGTTGCCTAGAAGAAGAACAGTAAATTTCCAAGCCAAATCAATCCATATGAAAATGGTATCTCCTCACAAAAACCTCTGGAAACCATACCTGGTTAAATGACCTATGCCAAGCTATCATGTCCTCATTAATGACTAATTCCTGTCCTTTGAGAGCATCAGGATCCACTTTTCCAATCTGACGTCTCTGGAAAGTGGAATTGGGAAAAGTGATTATGTTGACGATATCAAATCCACCCTCCATGTTTTTTTGATCATAAAATGTTATGACGTCTCCAAGAGAATTATTGAATTTCATGCCTTTAAGAAATTGGTGAAGCTATATTATTGGGAATTAAAAAAAAAACAGAAAACAAAGAATAGAAAGATATCAGTTATTTTGTCTTAGTAGTAGTAAGCTTTTGAATGAGAAACTCTGAATATATGGAAAGAATATTTCTCCAACCTCTTGAGAACCTGTTTGCTGCCCTCTGCATTTGGGGGAATAATTCAAAGGGTCAGATTCTTCTTTTCTGAGTCATAGTCAAATGACAGAAATGAATTGCAGCAAGTTTTTCCCCAGTCAAACAAAGCCTAGGAAATGATGTGGAACTAGATTTCCAAAATCACATTCCCTCTCTGATCTCTTCCTCATTTTCTAAGTAAGCCTCACCTGACTGATCTTCTTGTGACTTCCCACCCATTTTTCATTTCATTCAATTCTCACAGACATAAGGCTGCTATTGAAGCGGGATTCACTAATCCCAAATTAATCAGGAGACAAGACCACAGAGATCCAGAGAAACAGGGTTTTATTGAATATTGCTAGCAATAGGCCCAGTGCAGTAACCTGACAAATACTGAGCCCCGAGCAACGCCCTGAGGCAGGTTTTATAGGTTTCATGATCATAGCATACTTTCAGTTCCTCAATATGCATACATTCAGATAGTTAAACTGGAAAAGTACAAATACAGAAGTAACCTGGAAAAGTACAAAAGCAGAAGTATATGGGTATACAATACGTGCCAGTTACACAATTACAATGGTTACAACATTATAGTTACGACAGATTGCTACAAATGTCAAGTTCCCTTCTAGGAGTACAGATGTAGGAGAAAGGGCAATACATTTATAGATGCGCTATAAATGATATAAAAGCAAGGCCTTTAAGATACATACTGTTAGGATACACCATATGAGGGGCTCTCCTTCATTCCCCCCTGTTGAGACTTTGCCAAGTAATACAATTACTGCAAAGTTTCATTTTCGATGTTACTTTCCTCGATAAGTTTCTGGTATTCCCACCAGGCCATGGCTCGGGCCGTGGCCCTTTTCTCAACCAATAAGGACAACGTGCTGGTACCAATGTAGGGGTCGTATTTCCTCCCAACCATGTCCAAATGTCATCCTCCGCGGGGAAGCGTTTGCCCTGGTCAAGAGGCGAAAGGGGACCCTCCAAGTCCAAGCTCCCCTTCCCCCCTGTTCCTAGCAAAACGCGATAAAGGTAAAGAGAGTTAATAATGATACTGAGTAGCAAAAGCACAATAACAACCCAAATGGAAGGCAAAAGGCCACGGCGAATACAAGCCGTCTCACGAATGCGCTGAGCTGGATCCATTTAAGACCAATGATAGGAATATGTAAGAGGTGGTTGACTAAGGGCTGTGAGAACCGTAGGAGTTGCCGTTAGGGTAGAGACCCGTTGGCCAGAGGAATTGGAATAGAAGAATCCCTCAAGAACTTGTTCGATAACAACTATGTCACAAACAAGGGCACAGTCAATACACAAAACACAATCAATACAATGGGAACAGCAGCAGGAATCGCAGGGGCAGGGGCAAAACCAGCACATGAAATCAAGGAGATGACGAGGGGACCTGCCTCCCAGAGCGCAGGGTAAAGCGAGGAGCGTTGCCCGTGCGATGGGTATTAGCCTCCGGAGTAATACCTGCAGGGGGTTCCTCTTCGGCTCCCGTTCGTAGAGGGAAAGCTTCCGGAGTGTCACCAGAAGGGGCAGCCACAGGTGCAGCGCGTGGACCTGATTAACCACATCCCAGGCCATGTGGCCTGGGAGGAAAACACGAGAATCGGGCAAGACCCACCAACCCCCCTGTAGGGAAGCATCGAGTTCACGGGCTTGGGCAAGTTCAGATGCACTATAATGAGGCTGCATAGAGTCTGGGGGATCCCATAAGGCGAGGCAGTGCGCCTGCGGTTTGAAAGGTCGCAACGCTGCATGGCGAGCTTCCTGGTCAGCCTTATGGTTACCCAGTTGTGTGTCCGAGGGTGATTTCTGATGGCCCCTACAGTGCATGACAGCCACCTTGCGAGGGGCCCAAACACTGTCCAGCAGGCGGAGGATTTGTGGACCATACTTGATGTCCTTTCCCCCTGCTGTAATAAGTCCCCTCTCTTTATACAATGCCCCGTGGACTTGAACTGTTAAAAAGGCATATTTTGAATCTGTGTAAATATTGACATTTAGATTTTTAGAAAGCTCAAGGGCTCTAGTTAAAGCGTGGAGCTCTGCCAACTGTGCACTAGTGCCAGGAGGGAGGGGTTCGGCCTCCCAGACATCTGTTAGAGTAACGACAGCATATCCGGCCTTGCGAACCCCATCCAGGAGGAAACTAGTGCCGTCGGTGTACAGTGCATAGTCAGGACGGGGAAGTGGGACATCTGACATATCAGGGCGGCTGGCATATGTTTCCCCAGTAGTCTGAATGCAATCGTGGGCCGTATCAAGATCAGGTTCGGGAAGGAGAGTTGCCGGATTCAAAGAAGTAGATTGCTTTAAAACAATCATGGGGTTGTGAGTTATAAGGCCTTGGTATTTAAGCATTCGGGGATTGGTTAACCATAAATGGCCTTTTGTTTCCAAGACAGCCTTCAAGGCGTGAGGGGTTTGTATTTCAAGCTCTTGTCCAAAGGTTAGTTTGCAAGACTCCTGAGTAAGAAGAGCCGTACCAGCAACAGCCTTGAGACAGGCAGGCCAACCCCTCGCAACAGGATCCAGTTGCTTGGAAAGATAGGCTACAGGGCGATGCCAGGTTCCTAACCTTTGGGTCAGGACCCCAACAGCCACATTTTGCTTTGTATCCACAAATAACTGAAAAGGTTTGTCTAAGTCTGGCAAGCCCAAACTGGGGGCTTGCATCAGAGCATGTTTTAAACTTGAGAAACTTTTCTGTTCCTCTTTTCGCCAGAGGAGCGGCTCTCGGTCACTGCCTCTGGTAGCCTCATATAGGGGTTTTGCAAGGAGGCTAAAGTTGGGAATCCAAATGCGGCAAAACCCAGCAGCCCCCAGAAACCCCCGGAGATCCTTTTTAGTCCGAGGGGTGGGGAGGCGGCAAATAGCTTCCTTTCTTTCATGACCCAAGGTACGTTTTCCAGGCTCAATATCATAGCCCAAGTATCTAACTTTTTGCAAGACCAATTGTGCCTTTTTCCGAGAAGCCTTATAGCCCAGTCGCTGTAGAAGGTGTAGGAGATCATAAGTGTTTTGCCAGCATATGTCCTTTGTCTGGCCAGTGACCAGCAGGTCATCAACATACTGCAACAAGACCTCCGGCTTGGGGAGGTTCAAAGCTTCCAAGTCAGCTGCGAGGGCATTCCCAAACAGAGTGGGGGAGTTCTTAAAACCTTGAGGCAACCTGGTCCAAGTATACTGCTGTTTACGACCAGTAGCCGGATTTTCCCACTCAAAAGCAAAGAGATGCTGACTCTTTTTATGGACTGGGATGGTAAAGAATGCATCCTTAAGGTCAATGACCGAAAACCATGACGCAGTCCGGGGAATCAAGCCCAGAATAACGTACGGATTTGGGACCAAAGGATGAATGGTCACGGTAGCGGCATTTACTGGCACTAAATTTTGAACCGGACGGAAACGGCCATCCCCCTTAGGAATAGGTAAGATCGGGGTGTTCCAGGCCGATTCAGTAGGGACCAGAATGTCATGTGCCAGATAGAGATCAATTACTCCCTGTATAGCTTGCATAATGTGTCTAGGGTAAGCCCGTTGACGAAGGCGAATTGGATGTTTGGCAGGGAGCTCCTCAACAACAATGGGCGTCTGATGGCGAGCAAACCCAGGGGGGTTGTCCTCAGCCCACAAGGAAGGGACATTAAAATCCTCCCAACCGGAGTTTGCTACGATTTCATGTAAAGCCATTAAGCGCCATGCTTCCTCCTGGGGAACGTCCACCGAGACCTTGCCATATGTCAAAGAAGTAGAACCGTCCGGCTCAAAAGAAATCTGAGCCCTTAATTTACTCAACAAGTCTCGCCCCATAAGGGGAAGAGGGCACTCCGGCATGTAAACAAATTGAGTTATCGTTTTACCCCCCGTGTGACAAATTAGGGGGTTGAGGAATGGGCGTTTGATTGGCTGGCCTGCGGCCCCCCGGACCGTGATGGTATGCGAGGAGGGCTGGGCCAAGGGTTTGGTTATGACGGATCGGGTAGCCCCTGTGTCTACAAGGAAGGGAATTGGCTTGCCTCCAATTGTGAGACTGACCATGGGTTCAGGGAGGCATGCCGAGCCCGGTCCGTTTCAGTCCCATTCCTCGACTTCGGCCAGACCAATGAGGGGGGTATTGGACGCCCCTCGTCCCCTCCCTCGAAAGGGTCTGCCTCGTCCACCTCGGCCGTCTCGGGCATAACCTCCCCGATTTCCTTCCTTGGCACGTTCCAGTTCTTTTTCAGGGCATTCTCCCTTCCAGTGGCCAAATCGCTTACATATGGCACACCGATTTGGGTCCAGGGGTCCCCCTGACCCCCGGCTCCGATTCCGCCCCAGGGGTCCCCCTGACCCCTGGCCCCTTGGGCCGCCCCAGGGGTCCCCCTGACCCCTCAAGCCTCTACCCAGTCTTGGCCCATCTCGGGTGGCAGGCCCGCTCATCAAAGCTGCAGCAAGCAATTCTGCCTTTTTATGCATTTTTTGCTCCTGCTTCTGTTCCTCAATTTTGTCCCTATTTGCAAAAACCTTCCTTGCCACTTCCATCAGTTCACTCATTGATTTCCCAAGAGCTCCCTCCAATTTCTGCAATTTTCGCCGTATGTCAGGGGCAGATTGAGAAATGAAGGCCATTGCCAACATGCGAGCATTTTCAGGCTGTGTTGGGTCTATGGGGGTGTACATTCGGTAAGCATCTAAGAGGCGGGCATAGAAGGCTTCTGGTGCTTCACTAGCACCTTGGATCACCAAAGAAGGTTTAGACATGTTGGTGGTGGGTTTCTCCGCCACCTGGATTGCCTGCACCACAAGGCGCTGGTAATCCTGAAGGGACCTAAGATCCTCGATCTTATAAGGGTCCCATCTTGGGTCTTCAGAGGGAAAATTTCTAGCCACCCAGCGTTCAATGGTCATATCCCGGGCTGGCATAGTTCCTTTTAAGATTTTAAGGGCGGCATTCCTAATCTTTTCCCTCTCTTCCGGATTGAAGATGGTACTCATCAACTGCTGTAGATCCCTCCAAGTTGGATTGTGGGTATCTACAATAGTTTTAATCAAATCAGTAACCTCTGCTGGTTTGTTACAAAACGGACCATAATGCATTTTCCAGTTCAAAAGGTCCGAGGAGGTAAATGGGACGTGTTGAAACACAGAGACAATTACGGGCTCCCTGTTTGGTTCAACGACTGACTGATCTACCCTCCTGAGAGGGCTCAGGAAAGCCGGTCCATCTTCCGACGGATCAGCTTCCTCACTCTGCCTGGTATTCTTTGAGCGAGTTCGATCAGCAATGGGGCCTTCCTGTTCCCCAAGGGGCAACTTTTGTCCCCCCACTGCTCCTTCTAATTCATCAGAGGAGGGGGTGATCTGTTCGCTTTTCTGGGTTTGTCGCTCCTTCGGGCGGGCCCCCTTGTCCGCTCCATCCAAACTGGTTTGGGCGGAGCGGTCAGCTGGGCTTGGTACCCCCGGTGAGTCGGGGATGCCCAAGTCATCGAGGGCTCTCAGGAAGGTATCAGCTCCTTCCCCTGCACTGCTAGAAACTGAGGTGCTTGCCCTAAAGCCTATTTGTCCCTCCCCCCGAGGGAGATATGGCGGCGGATTGGGCAGCTCCTCTGGGCAGCTAGGAAGGATGGTGGGGATTGTTTTTTCCTTTTATATGGCAAGGTGCGGGAAACCAATAATCTACACCTTGCAGCTTTGCACTTTTGTAGCCAAATGGGGGGATGTTGTACTAGAGTAAGCCAGACATCGATGTATGGGGCTTGGTCAGGATGTCCTGTGGTGGGGTGGAAGACCCTCTGGTGTACTTGTAGTACTATCCCTAGGTCCAGCGACCCTGCTGCTGGCCAGCCTACTCTGAGTTCTGGCCAGTCCACCTCACAGAACACCCGCAACCTCTGCCTACTCCATTTTATGCCGTAATCCTGGCTAATATAGGCATCTTTGAAATGTTTTAACATACATGCCAAGGGGGTCAAAGGCGTACTGCCACCTCCACCCATTTTCCTCCCAGGGCACCAGACAAGACAAGTAGGTAAAGGGATTTGGGAAGAAGGTAAGGGGTCCTTCTCTCCCAGGAAAACACGAAGGATTCTCAATCACGCTTCCCCGGCCGCCAGCCCCGGACACTCAACGGTCACTGGACGGAATCGCGGGGTACACTCACACCAGTCGTGCACGACAAACCTCCCACCTTGGGGTCCCTCCGACCCTGGGGTCCCTCCGACCCCTCGTACCTTCAGGGAAAGGGTGATCAGGCACTTCCCCCCCACTCCTCCACCCGTCCAGTTCCCAGTTACCTCTGCTGTCTGGATGAACTAGACCGGCTAGTGGTTATTCCCCTGGGTGACTCTCACCTGTTCCCAGTTACCTCTGCTGTCTGGATGAACTGGCTGGTCCCTATCCCAGGGGTTTAGGTACTTGCCTGCCGGCGTCCTTTTCTTCTTCCTCCAGCTGGATTGAAACGTGCCTGGTCTCGTGGTCTCTCTTTTAAGCGGTTCTTGGAAACGTCAACCGACACTGTGAAAGGGCCGGCCCCACGGGGAAGCCCCTCGGACTAAAAGAGTCCGATGGCGCCTGGGACTTTCCCAGATCCTCCGAGTCCCTCACAGTGTGGCGACGATCCAGAGGAATCTTAAAGTTCCGTTGCCTCCTGGCTGGCTCGCCAGAAATGAAGCGGGATTCACTAATCCCAAATTAATCAGGAGACAAGACCACAGAGATCCAGAGAAACAGGGTTTTATTGAATATTGCTAGCAATAGGCCCAGTGCAGTAACCTGACAAATACTGAGCCCCGAGCAACGCCCTGAGGCAGGTTTTATAGGTTTCATGATCATAGCATACTTTCAGTTCCTCAATATGCATACATTCAGATAGTTAAACTGGAAAAGTACAAATACAGAAGTAACCTGGAAAAGTACAAAAGCAGAAGTATATGGGTATACAATACGTGCCAGTTACACAATTACAATGGTTACAACATTATAGTTACGACAGATTGCTACAAATGTCAAGTTCCCTTCTAGGAGTACAGATGTAGGAGAAAGGGCAATACATTTATAGATGCGCTATAAATGATATAAAAGCAAGGCCTTTAAGATACATACTGTTAGGATACACCATATGAGGGGCTCTCCTTCACTATGAACATGGTAAAGACTGAAAGATAGCTGACACAACTAAATAGAATCCTTCTGTTGTCTTCAATAATATCGGTAGTTATGGGAAAGAAATTACAAATTAACGATGTCAACAGCATCGAACCCTGCAGTAATTGCAGGCAGCTGGTCTTAAGCAGCTTAATAACAGGGTGCCTTAAACCCTAGTACTACCAAGGCACAGACCTTTTTTCATAGAGATATGAATAACTGAGAAAAAAACAACCAAGGAATCATTACACGAAGAAAAGAGTGGATTTTGCTTACTCAAAAAATTCTTAGGGATTTGCAATCTAGCTATTTAGCCATCATGTTTAACCTACATAACATTACATTTAAAATAAAAATGATGGGAAACAAAATCTACAGCCAAAAACTCTCAGAAACTAAAGTGATTACTTGATCTGATAAAGCTTTCATCTGCTTTCTTTATGGATCTTTTTCCATAGAGACAGGTGTGGTCAGCTAGAAAAAACTGAAGAAAAGAAACAAGGAATCATTAGGTGAAAAAAAGTGTGGGATTTGCATACTCTGAAAATCCATAGAGCTCACTGAAGGAATAGAGGATCTGTGAAGTCATCTCTCCAATGAGGAGATCACCTAGTTGGTACCATTCATGTGGAATTGGGATAGGATCAACCTCTGGGCACTTGAGTGCATTCACTTTGATCACTAGGAACATCAGAATGAATAACACAGCAGCAGCCAAAACATCTTCCCAAAGAGGTCTCCAACATATCACGCCACACCAATGGATCTGATCTAGCATTCTGGATCTTCCCAACACACGTCCAGAGACCAAAGCATCAATCTAAACTTTTCATTTTGATGGAGATATGACACGTGCTTGAGTAATGACTGAGATTTCTACAACTCAGATTTGAAATAGGTCTGATCAAAGAAAGAACGGATGCTGGAGACATTGAACTCAATAGTCCTGTGGGACTCTTCCCACCATCCCAAGTCTCCTTTGGATTAGTTTATAACCCCTTTCAAACTTGCTTTTTCACTGCTTTCTAGAAAATCTTTGGAGCTTTGAGCAAATAAATACACGATAGTAATTTGAACCAATTCCAGGAAGAGTTAATTATCTATTAAAATATTTTCTCCTAGCTGGCCTTAGAAAACCTACCTACTTGTTAATTGTCAATTTGACAAAGTGTTCCCCCTCTTTCTCAAATAAAAAATAATTTTAAAGATCAGTTGATATTTTTTACAATAATATAAATACATGGACACAGAAAGAAAGATGATGTACTGGATTTAACTATTTTAATTCAGAATATAGGATACAGGGACAAGTGCTGACAGAGAACAGGATACCAAAATAGGAGAATATGTGTAGCTCAGGGTGGAACTGAGGGATCCTTGGTGCTACTCTGAAGTTTGCTGTTTTTTTTTTTAAATAAATTTGTATACCGCCCTTCTACTGGACTCAGGGTGGTGCACAGCCAAAATAAAAACATCCCAATACAAAATTTAAAATTTGTTAAAAGAATTACAAAACTTTGGCCTAAATTTAAAATCCTGACTAAAACCCATAGACAGTTAAAAATCTAACATCTCAAAAAAAGGGGGGGGTTACACCAGTCCTCCTTGGTGAAAAGGAAAGGTTTTTAGGGCACAGCGAAAAGCTCAGAGATCTGGTATCATAATTATCTCCGGGGGCAGGTCGTTCTAGAGGGCAGATGCTGCCACAGAGAAGGCCCTCCCCCTGGGGGTCGCCAGCCGACACTGCCTGGCTGACAGAACCCTGAGGAGTCCCTCTCTGTGGGAGCGTACTGGCCGGTGGGAAGCTATCGGCAGCAGAAGGCGGTCCTGCAAATACTCAGGTCCAATGCCATGGAGCGCTTTAAAGGTGGTAACCAACACCTTGAAGCACACCCGGAAGACCACCAGAAGCCAATGCAGGTCACGCAGGAGAGGCATCACATGGGAGTGCCCCCTCGCTCCCATAATCCCCCGTGTGGCCACATTCTGCACCAGTTGGAGCCTCCGGGTGCTCCTCAAGGGGAGCCCCATGTAGAGAGCATTGCAGTAGTCCAGGCGGGAAGTGACGAGTGCCTGAGTGACTGTGCATAAGGAGTCCCGATCCAGAAAGGGACGCAACTGGTGAATCAGGCAAACCTGATGAAAAGCCCCCCTGGCCACAGCCATCACATGCTCTTCTAAGACAGCTGTGCATCCAGGAGGACGCCCAAGTTGTGAGCCTTCTCCATGGGGGCCAATGACTCGCCCCCAATAGCCAGCGATGGCACCAGCTGGCTATATCGGGATGCCGGAAGCCACAGCCACTTGGTCTTGGAAGGGTTGAGTCGAAGCCTGTTACTCCCCATCCAGATCTGCATGGCCTCCAGGCACCGGGACATCACTTCAAGGGCATCATTGGGATGGCCTGGGGTGGAGATGTACAGCTGAGTATCGTCAGCGTACTGATGGAACTCCACCCAAAAGCCACGGATGATCTCGCCCAGCAGCTTCACATAAATGTTGAACAGAAGGGGCAAGAGGACCGACCCTTGCGGCACCCCACAAACAAGGCACCTTGGGGTTGACTTCTGCCCCCCTGCCAACACCAACTGCGTCCGGTCAGAGAGATAGGAGGAGAACCACCGCAGAACGATGCCCCCCACTCTTCTACATATACCACTTTTCTGGCATATGTTTCATTACCCAATCTAGGTAACATCATGTGTTCTAGCAGGATCCTGATTTAGCAATCTGTAGATGACCCTGATGACATATGTAGGATCTCTTCCCAGAGGCATGGGGGCGAGGTGTATCTATACATCGCTATTTCTCCGATGTCATCGCGTCCGCAGAGACTTGCCCGACCACCCTGTTTCGGGTGTCCCGCTCCCTCTTGAATCAGAGGGCGGGGGAAGACCCAATGCGAGGGCAAGCTGAGGAGTTTGGCCAGTATCTGCTGGACAAGATTGCTCAGATTTGGGATGGCTTGGACTCTGACTGGACAGGGTCAGACGATGAAGCGGGTCTTGTGCTTTGGGAAGAGTTCAATCCTGTTACCCCAGATGAAGTGGACAGGATCATGGGGAAGTTGAGTGCGGCCACATGTGTACTGGACCCACACCCCTCCTGGCTGGTTTATTCAGCTCGGGAGGTGACATGTGGCTGGATCCAGGCGGTGATAGCTGCTTCTTTAGAGGAGGGTAGCTTTCCTGCTGTCTTGAAGAAGGCGGTGGTGAGGCCCCTCCTCAAGAAGCCTGCCCTGGATCCAGCTGTTTTGAGCAACTTTCGTCCGGTCTCCAACCTTCGCTTCCTTGTGAAGGTTGTTGAGACTTGATGGCATGTCAGCTCCCAGTGGCCCTGGATGAAGCGAAGTACCTTGATCCGTACCAATCGGGTTTCAGGCCCGGATACAGCACGGAGATGGCATTGGTCGCACTGGTGGATGATTCTGGTGGGCTCGGGACAGAGGTCATTCCTCTGTTCTGGTCCTATTAGATCTTTCAGCGACTTTCAATATCATCGACCATGGTATCCGGCTGCGGCGCCTTGAGGGGTTGGGAGTGGGAGGCACCATTTTACGGTGGTTCTCCTCTTACCTCTCAGGTCAGATGCAAGCTGTGTTGGCAGGAGGGCAGAGATCGACCATGAGGCCCCTCAACTATGGGGTGCCTCAGGGGTCTGTTCTCTCACCCCTTCTGTTCAACATTTATATGAAACCACTGGGGGAGATCATCCATGGTTTCGGGGTGGGGTGTCATCAATACGCTGATGATACCCAGCTTTTTATATCCACCCCGAACCAGCCCAGTGATGCCCTCGATGTGATGTCCCAGTGCCTGGAAGTGGTAAGGATCTGGATGGGGAGGAACAGGCTTTGGCTTAACCCTGCCAAGACTGAGTGGCTGTGAATACCGGCATCTCAGTTCGAAGGAGGGATTCCATCGCTGGCTATAGGGTGTGAAATTTTGCCCCCTGTAGACAGGGCGCACAACTTGGGTGTCCTCCTGGATTCACGGTTGAGCTTAGAAGATCATATAAAACCATGACCAGGGGGGCATATGCCCAGATTTGTCTGGTCTGCCAATTGTGCCCCTATTTGGACTGAGATGCCCTACGCACAGTTACTCATGTGCTAGTTACCTCTTGCATTGACTACTGTAATGCTCTCTATATGGGGCTGCCCTTGAGGACCACTTGGAGGCTTCAACTGATACAGAATGCAGCTGCACAGATTGTGATGGGAGGGTCCCGATACTCCCATGTTACACCCCTCCTGTGCGACTTGCATTGGTTGCCGGTTGCCCTCCAATTCAAGGTGCTGCTGATGACCTATAAAGCCCTACATGTCTTACGCCCAGGATATTTAGCAGACCATCTGCTGCCAGCAACAGCTGCCCATCGCCCGGTGCGTTCTCACAGGGAGGGCCTGTTCCAGATGCCATCAGCTAGACAGTGTTGGCTGGTGACCCTCAGGG